TATTAACTCTTTCTATCACCAAATGCTGGAGGGTCACTCAATCTGGCTCATCCATCAGGAACAGTATGTCGATGAGCATTTGCAAGCACTGCACCCCCTTGAGAGCAATCCTGCTGATTCTACCACAAACAGTGAAAGGACCTCTCCACAGGATGATGGCTGTGCCCTCCCGTTGTGTCGTCGCACAGGTACAGTTCGGTTGGCATGTACACGACATAGCCTCTGCTCCGAACACTATGAAGGGATGGTCGCTGCTAGCCTCTCACACAAAAATTGTGATCCCCAGTCCTGTGCTCATCCCCCCCACCCCCTGATTACTTGCCCAGCATGCCGTTGTGGCCTTGATCTGCCATGCTTAAATAACTGTGCACGTCAGCCTTCCATACTAATGCCATGTCAGCAACATATCATGTGTCGTCAATGCTTCCAGGAAGCTGTTATAGAAAGTATGTGTCTTTACTGCGTGGACTATCCCCGGTGCCATCACCCTCCACATCCTCTCCTAGCATGTCCCACATGCGGTATTGGTAGTACACCTATGGCAACCACTGACGAATATCCCTCTTTCATGCCAGACGAATGACGAACACAGCTGTACGAGGAGGAAAATAGACTTCGATATGAACCACCGGCAGAGCGATGTGCTCATAGTTTATCACCACCAGGGCGAGCTGTTGTGGATCATATCCTGCAGCAGCTGAATGCCCTTGTGTTGGACCGATCCTCCCTGTCGTCGTCTGCCCATAGAGAAGGAATACATACTGAGGAAGCCCAAGAAAGATGCTCCATGCCGTTTTGCGATGACCCGCCGGAGATTCAACTGGCATGTGGTTCACATGCCTTGTGCCGTGAGGGTTATGAAGGTATAGTCCATGCGAGTTTTTGCTTCCATACATACGATGACAGTCAGTACTGTACTCATGTACGGCACCCCGACATGTCATGTCCACTTTGTAGACAGGGGCTGGAACGGCAATGCCTCTATAATTGTGGTCGACGTGCCTCTGTGTTCCTAGCATGTACGAGCCACATAGCCTTTGACATCTGTCTGCGCCGTGCCATTTGATGCAGCAACTGTGACTGCGAAAATTGGATGCGGTGCTTCCATAGCCCACACCCGAACCAGTCCTGTTCGGTCTGTAGGGGTGGCCACTCGCCAGAGTTTTTTTTTTTTTTTTTTTCAGAAGTCTGCTTCAGCGGTGAATATTTAGAAATCTGTGAAACCCATGATACACCTTTCCCCTGCTCTTTGCATGTCATACTCTAAAACACACACACACACACACACACACACACACACACACACACACACACACACACACAAAGGGTGTCCGAAATCCCCCGATAGGTGAGTGCGCTGGGGGGCCCTGGTCCCCAACCGGGTGCCCTGCCCGGCCAGGCCGCCCGGGACCTTCCCCGGGGCCCTGCCGGTCACCCGGGCGGCCCGGATCCCCACTCAGCAAAAAAATCAAAAGATAAGAAAATTGGCCCCCAAATGGGGTTCGGCCGAACTTTGGCGGGACCCAAACCCCAGGGCGGACGGGCCCCGAATGCGTCGTCCCCGAACGCCCGAACGTTCGGGGGTTGGCCTGGGGGCTCCTGAACGTAGCTTTTCCACCATTCTGCTTGCAACCATAGCTGCCGCAGTATCAATCTATATAACTGGCAGTGTGGCACTTTGAAATTCTCCCAATGTGTTCAGAATACTCTCGGAACTGCAATGGCAGAAGTGGTGAAATGGAAGTTCAAAAGTCTGTGGAAACAGTTCGGAAGATACATACACAATCTCATTAGGAGTCGCTTGCCTCTGGGTAATACCCCTGTTGATTTGTGCAGATGAGCAAGATGTCTGCTGAAAAGCAGGAACTTCTGCAAGAAGTTCGAGCGTTGACGGCTAAAATGCACGCTATGGAGGTAAGGGTGCGTGAACACGTGCTTAGAGAGTGGAATTTGCTCTTTGCTTCTGAGTGTGAGTCTTCTCGGCTGTCTGATGGCCACCCTCCAGTGGTTACAAGGATCAAGCAGTTGCTGTTGATGTTGACTCCATTGTGGTTGCTGCCTGGTGATTTATGTGGTGAAGGGATCTGTGGAGGAATGAATGTTGAAAGAAACTTAGCTGACCTAATATGAGTTCACCCACGAAAATAGGAAAAACAAAAACTTAAGAAAACATAGTCAGAAAACTCTCGAGTTAATCCTGATTGTCACTGACCTTTTGTAGCTTTGCTTGCCAAAGAAATATATTGAAAAACGTGGGGGATGCAGGAGCTGTGATGAAGCTGCGAAGCCGGAGAGGGATGCAATGGGGTGCTGGTTGAGGTCTGGCAGGAAGATATCACGGAGATCATCTCTCTCTCCCTCACTCCCCTTTCCACCTCCCCCCTGGTTTCCCACGTTCACATGGGCATGGGAGCAGTCTGGGAAGCAAGAGCTGGTGGCAGCCAACAGGAGGTTGTGGAAGTTGACAGTAAGCGGTGCCATGTGGGGGAGAAGGGGTCGCTCACTCTCGGTGGTGCGCACATGCCTGTTTTTTTTTTTGGGGAGGGGGAATGGGGGGAAAGGTGGCAGATATGTTGTGGAAGTGGTCTGGGTGAGGAGGGAGGTGAAAGAGCAGTGGCAGTGGAGGTGGTGACCGAGGCGAAGAAGGGGGAGCACGGAGATATGGGGGGCTATGCTTGGAGGTGGCTCACCTCACTCACTTCTCTCTCTCTCTGTCTCTGTCTCTCTGTCTCTGTGTCTGTCTCTGTGTCTGTCTCTGTGTCTATCTCTGTGTCTGTCTCTGTGTCTATCTCTGTCTCTCCCCACCTCCCCTTCACCCCACCTTGTCGCAGCTGGTGGAGGTCTATAGTGGGCAGGCTGCGGGAGAAATATAGCGGATGGGTAGCAGCAGTGGAGGTGGTGGCCGAGCTGAAGAAGGGAGAGCGGGGAGATATGGTGGGCTATGCTTGGAGGCGGCTCCACTCACTTACTTCTCTCTCTCTCTCTCTTTCTGTGTCCCCCCC